TCGGCCCCAAGTGGCCTGGCATCTCAGCTTTCCAGACGGGAAGATTCAAACCACAGGGACCAGCGAGGTCCCCAGAGCGGGCAGTGGCCGGCCGTGGTGGGCAGTGGCGGGGCTGTGACTGGGACAGACTCATGCTGCCCTGACCCACTCTCTGTTCTGCATGTGCCAACATGCGTGCATTACTGCTGTGCACATGCTTTTTTTTAATATATATCTTATTAGCTGAAACCGGTTCGGCTCAGTGGATAGAGCGTCAGCCTGCAGACTAAAGGGTCCTGGGTTCGATTCCGGTCAGGGGCATGTACCTTGGTTGCAGGCACATCCCCAGTAGGGGGTGTGCAAGAGGCAGTTGATTGATGAGTCTCTCTCATCGATGTTTCTAACTCTCTATCCTCTCTCTTCCTCTCTGTAAAAAATTAATAAAATATATCTTAAATATATATATATTATTGGCCCCGAGAACGGGCTTGAGGCAGCCAGTCAATGCTTCTCTGAAGGGCCTTCCTATTCCGCTGGTTCTGCTGGGGTTCAAACTGCCAGGCCTCCCTCCCGCACCTGTGCGGAGGGTGTCTTTCTGTCCCTCTCCGGAGAGAAACTTTGTAGCAGCCGAAGGGAGGGGACGGAGGGAGGCGACGCGGCCTTGGCAGGCAGAGCCCGGAGTACGGGCTGAAGGCCGCCTCCCGCGGACGCTCTGAATCATCCCTCTGTTCAGCACCCTGAGCGCCCCGGCCCCCCTCCATCACCGGGGGCCCCGCTGGCAGGAAGCAGCCTCTGGGGGGACCTCCTTCCTCCCTGACACAGAGCACCCAGGTCTGGAAGGATTGCCCACAGCACCGCAGGCTCCCAGGCTCGGGGTCCCCCAGCCCGGGCCTTTATGAAGTTCTTCCTGAGCCCCCGGCCAGGGGACAGGCAGGCCCGCTGCCCAGGAGCGTGGAGGGATGGGAGGGGGGCGGGCGGAGGGGGGAGAGGGAGGGAGCAGCGCCTCACAGGAGTATCTCCTTACACCAGCGCATGGTTCCATCCTCAAAACACCCTGTTCCCGGCTGCGTGAGCCTTGCCTTGGGGCCTCCTCCTGTCACATAAAAGCCGTGGCAGGCCGGGAGGACAGACCTCGCTCCCAGAGCGCAGGGTTGCTATGTACACAGAGCGGCTGTTAGACGTGACGAGGTCTGAGGTCTGGAACTGTGAACAGCACCACAGCCTGGCTGGGGCCGGGCAAACCTGCTCCTTCTGGCCCTGCACGGCAGGAAGGAGCCAGACCTCAGAAACATGCTCTACTGCGGGTTAATCTAGGAAGAAAACGTGTGAGCGAAACCCACACACGCCCACACGCCCACACGCCCACACGCCCACACGCCAGGGGAACGTTTTACATACGGAGCCCAAATGGCTGGAGACAAGCCGGGCCCTCCGAGGTGCGGGAATCCCATCGGGTGCGGAACTCGGCCCACAGGAACCAATTCCGCCCCTTACCTCACCTCTGCCTCCCACCTCACCTCCACCCCCTCTCGGTCATCACTGCCTTTTAGGCAGGCTCTTCCCTGCGGGTCCTGCGCTCCTCGCTCTGAGCAGGAAAGCAGCGCTGAGCTCCTCTGCTCACCGCCATCTCACAAAACACTCCGCTCAGGCAGCGAGCTCGGGGCCAGGCGGAGGCCCTGGCCACCCCTCCCAGGGTTTGGCTCAGCGGGCGGCACTGCAGGAATTTGGGGGGCAGGGGGGTGATAGGACAGGACCTGGCTGCCAGTCCTTCCAGGTCCACGGGGAGGGCGGTTGGGGACGGGCAGGAAGCCTCTGTTCCTCTTCCGATGGGCCCCGGAGTGGAGTCCAACTGTCATATCGGCTGAGTTTCCTAACCAGCGCTCCTTCCAAGGCTAGGCCCCTGCCTCCTCCCCCACAGCCCGGGCAGCCTCCTTCCCCCTCAGGGCCGGGCCCAGAACAAGTGCAGGAACTGGAGCTGATGCCCAGGGTGGAGGCAGGTCTGGGAACACAGGGGCAGACAGGGGCCAGGGCCCTCGCCCACTGTGTGTGTGTGTGTGTGTGTGTGTCTCAGTGTGTGTGTGTGTGTGTGTGTGTCTGTGTGTGTGTGTCTGTGTGTGTGTGTGTGTGTGTCTCAGTGTGTGTGTGTCTGTGTGTGTGTGTCTCAGTGTGTGTGTGTCTGTGTGTGTGTGTGTGTCTCAGTGTGTGTGTGTGGGTGTGTGTGTCTCAGTGTCTGTGTGTGTGTGTGTCTCAGTGTGTGTGTGTGTGTCTGTGTGTGTGTGTGTCTCAGTGTGTGTGTGTGTGTGTCTGTGTGTGTGTGTCTGTGTGTGTGTGTGTCTCAGTGTGTGTGTGTCTGTGTGTGTGTGTCTGTGTGTGTGTCTCAGTGTGTGTGTGTCTGTGTGTGTGTGTCTCAGTGTGTGTGTGTCTGTGTGTGTGTGTGTCTCAGTGTGTGTGCAGTGTGTGTGTGTCTCAGTGTGTGTGTGTGTGTGTGTGTCTGTGTGTGTGTGTGTCTGTGTGTGTGTGTGTGTCTGTGTGTGTGTGTCTGTGTGTGTGTGTGTCTCAGTGTGTGTGTGTGTGTGTGTGTCTCAGTGTGTGTGTCTGTGTGTGTGTGTGTCTGTGTGTGTGTGTCTCAGTGTGTGTGTGTGTGTCTGTGTGTGTGTGTGTGTGTGTGTCTCAGTGTGTCTCTGTGTGTGTGTGTGTGTGTGTGTGTGTGTTGGCCTGCAATCACAGGATGTGTTATGGCCCCAGCGGTCAGGAGGTGCTGAAACAGGAGTTTTCCTCGGTGGCGAGCGGAGATGGCCGGGTTGAGCCACCTCTCGGATGGCGGTTAAGGAGTTCCCTCTTTGCTTTTCCTGTGGGGAAGGCCTTCTCTCGGCCTGAAGACAGTCAGCTGGCGGGGCAGGCGCAGGGGAAAAGCAAGTCTGAACAGGGGCCAGCGGCACGCGGCAGACTCCGGAAAAGCTGCACCCAGAAACCAGTTCTCCTCTCCCGCCTCCGTTACTCAGCAGCGGCCTCGGAGGCACTGTCCCGCCATGCCTGAACATTACTTAGCAACGCAGGTTTAACGCGCCAAGGCGACCTCCGACCTCTGACCTCCGAGGAGCAGGGGCACTCACTGGGTGCAAAGAGCATATCCCAGAAGCCAGCACCCCCAGCCCCCCGCCCCCCAGCTCCAGCGGCTCTGATCCCACTTCCGCCAGGAAGTGCTCCCTCCCCGCCTCCAGGTGTCTCTTTGTTCAAACCTCCCTCCGTCCAGGCCTCAGGCACAGAGCGCGGCTGCCATTGGCTCCCGCAGCTGCTTCCACCTGGACGGGCCCGCCCACCAGGCCTGGCCGCAGCGGGGCCAGAAGGAAGGAGGAAGGCGGAGAAACAGCCGGGACCCAGAGGGAGTCAAGGGGCAGACGGAGCTGCCATTAGGCTGGCACAGGGTGGCACACAGTTAAGCCTGGGGCCCGTGAGGCAGCCTGTCAGCGGAAGCAGCACGGGCGTGGGGGCTCGGCGAACGGCTGAGTCCCTCCAGCCCCGGGGTGGCTCCGTGGCTGAGCGTGGACCTAGGAACCAGGAGGTCGGGGCACAGGCCCAGGCTGTGGCTCCATCCCCAGTGTGGGGCGTGCGGGAGGCAGCCGATCCCTGACTCTCTCAGCATGGACGTTTCTTTCTTTCTCCCTCTCCCTTCCTCTCTGAGATTGATAAATTAATCTCTGCCTCGGTATTTATTCCGAGACCCACCGGGCACACACCCCGGCACCGGCACACGCTTCTGCAGGCTGAAGCGGAGGGCGGGCAGCGGGAGGGGCCGGGGTCACGGGGATGGAGCCCGGGCGGGTCTGACCTCGGCGCCCAGGTCCCCAGCCTCCAGCCAGCCCGGACCAAGCACACCAGGACCGGCTGCTCTGGCTCACGGGCGCGGGCCCCACGGCGGCCGGCGGCAGGGTCTGGCCGGCGTCCCGGAGGCTCCCGCGTCCTGCAAGCCGCGGCGGCCGGCACACGGCGCAGGCGGCTCGGCGCGGCCTGGGCAGGTCCGGGGCCGCGGAGGAAAGCGCCCGGGAGGCGGGGAGCGCGGCTCCGGCATCGCTCCGACGGCCGCACCGGCCACCCACCCATGGGAGAGGGACGGGCCCGGGCACCCATGGGAGAGGGACCGGCGCGGGCGCCCATGGGAGAGGGACCGGCGCGGGCGCCCATGGGAGAGGGACCGGCGCGGGCGCAGGGACCACCGGAGGGAGGGCGCCGCGAGGACCGGAGGGAGGAAGGGAGGGCTGCGGGGCGCCTTTCCCTCAGCATCTCCCCGGAGGCCGGGGCGGAGGCGTCATCGGGCCGCGCGCACCCACTCCCCGGGCTCGGAGGGCGCGCGGCGCTGGCCCCGTGGCGCGGTCCCGTGCACAAAGCGGCCCCCGCGGGCCCGGCCGGGCGGGGGGCGGCGGCATCCCGGCTGCCGCGCCGGCGATCGCGCGTGGAGCCCCCTCCCGCCCGGGCCCCGGGACCCGCGCCGGCCGGTCATTGTCCGCCCGCCCGCAGGCGGCTCCGGGCCCCGGCCCCGCGTGTCCGACCGCCGCGGTGAGCGCCCCGGCGGCGCCCGCGAACCCCGGGCCCGGGGCGCCCCGGCCGGAGACAGACACCAACGGCCGCGCGCACAGGCGCTCCCGCCCCGAAGTTGACGAAAACCGGCCGACAGACACCCCGAGCCGCCGCCGCCGCGGTCCGCGCTGACCTCCCGCCGCCGGGGACCGGCCGCCGTCGCCCGGACACGGTCACTCCCACTCGGCGCGGCCACCTGGACGCCGCGGCCGCGTCCCCCTCGGCGCGGCCCGAGCCCCCGAGACGCCTCCCGCCTCCCCAGCGTGCGGGCGCGGACACAATGCGAGCCGAGCGCAAGCGGGGGGAGCTAGGACCCGCCGGAACCCCGGGTGCGGGAGACGCGGTCGGGACGTGCCCGGAGCAGCGCGGTGGCCAGGGCATCCCCTCAGCCGCCCCCGGGGGTGGCTTCGGCCGGCCGGCCCGCGCGCCCGGCCCGCGGTACTCACTCGCGACGCTCGTCACGGAGGTCGGCGACGGGGACCGCGCCGCGCGGGGACGCGGGGATCCCGGGGCTACGGGGACCGAGGCGACCCCGGCTCTGCAGAGACGCGCGCCCGACGGCGGCGGCGCTGCTCCGCCCGGCGCGCGCGGCTCCAGCGGGCGGACCAATGGGAGCTGCCAGGCCGCTTCCGTGGGCGGTCCTGGGGGCGGGGCCAGGGGAGCGTGTGGGAAACCGGGCTCCGATTGGTTCGCCTGACCATCGCTCCGCCTCTGGCCGGCCAATCGGCGACGGGTGACTCGGGAGCGGGGTGTTCGGAGTTGAGCTGAGGCAGACCGCGGGCGCACGCTGGCGGCACGGCTGCCATCCCGGCCCGCGCGGCGGGAGATGAGCGGGGCCGCGCGCCCGGGGCTGCCTACCCTCGCGGCTCGGGCGGCGCGGCGTGCGGGCCGCTGGGCTGGCCCCGGAGGCCCGGCCGGCGGGGGGCGGCCACGGCGCCCCTAACAAAGCGGCTGGGGGCGGGCCGAGCGGCCTCCTCCGCCTCCCGCCATTGGCCCGCGCAGCTGCCACTCAGCCCCCCGGCGGCGCCGGCCTATGAGGCGCGCGGAGGGGCTGCGCTGGGCGCGCGCGCGGTCGGCGGCGGCGGGATTGGCCGGCGGTACCGGCTCCCCGGCCTCCGCGGCTCGGACCCGAGCGGGAGCCGGGGTGACGGGACTCTCACGGGAGAAAACCGGCCGCTGCCTCCGGGATGGCGGGCGTGTGGGCGCCAGCCGGGCCCCGGGGAGGGCACGGCGGCCGGAGCCCACCCCCGCCGCGGGCTCACCTGCCGGCCCGCGGACGTGGCCGCGGCGGGGGGCTCGGGCCTCGCGTTCGCCTCCGGGCGGAGCGGCGGCGCCCGCGGGCTCGCACCGCCCGGGCCTCCCGCAAAAGGCGGCACCGGCCGTTTGCCCCGTGAGATCGCGGGGCGCGGGGCCCCGAGCTGGTGCAGCGATTCCAGGGAAGCCCCCCGCCCCTCCGGGAGGAACCGCCTGCGGGGGTGGGGGTCACCCCGGTGGAGGCCGGAGCGCGGGCGGTCCGGTGGGGAGGGACCCGCTGAGCACGGGCCTGTCCTGCAGGTGAATCCCAACGGAAACCCCGGCCGCACGGTCTCCCCCCTGCTGTCTCCGGCCCCCCAGGCCAGCCCCTCCCCTCCCCTCCATCCGTGTCCCCCACCCCGGCCTCTGTTCCCGGAGTCCAGTCTGCATTTTGCAGAATCATCCTGCCACACAGAACAGTCGTTTGCTCTCCCGCCTTGGTCTCTTCGCTCCGCCCGAACACACACACACACAACACACCTATTCCTGGGGCCCCGTGCACGGTCAGGTTTCACTCTGCGCATTTCCTGAGCTACACGGTGCACCAGCCTGTGGCTCCTGGGAGCTCCCGGTGTCCAGGGCCAGGGACCCAGGCCCCACCCACCCCGGTGTCACAGGAGCGGGAACTGCCCCTTACTGATGCCTCCTGGGTCCAGGACCCCGTCCGTCCCGCTCCCCGCTGCAGCCGAGGGCCTCACAGGGGGCTTGGCCTCAGAAACAGAACCCGCGGGTCACAGAGCAGCTCGGAGGCGAGAGCTCTGAGCATGGCCAAGTACTTAAAACACGTGTGACTGGAGGAAAAACAAGCAGGCGTGGGTCCATGGAACAGACTGACAGCTGTCAGGGCGAGGGAGGAGGAGGGCCAGGAGAGAAGGTGAAGGGATCAGCCCAAGAACAGACTTGCATAATCCACAGACAGACAACTGGTGATGGGCCCGGCAGGCATGGCTCAACCTATGAGCCAGGAGGTCAGGGTTCCATTCCCGGTCAGGGCACTTGCCCGGGTTGCAGGCTCCATCCCCAGTAGGAGGCGTGCAGGAGGCAGACAATCAGTGATTATCTCTCATCATTGATGTTTCTCTCCCTCCCTCTCCCTCTGAGATCAATTTAAAAATAAACTTTATATATATTAGAAAGAAACATAACTGATACGTAGTAACATTAAATAGCATTTGTTTCGTAAACATCAGCTGGAGGCCCCTGAGGCAGGTCCTGGAAGTGAGCGCAGAGCAGTGCTCTGGACCCACCGTCCAGTCCAATCCACGTGTGACTGCTGACCCCCCAGAACTTGCCTGTCGCCTGCCTTTGCCTGTAGGCCTTACCGAGGCGAGCACATTCTGCATGCTGTATGCAGTGTAAACTGGGTTCTTACAGGAAGCAAGCTGGAGAAAAGAAACGGATTAAGAAAGCCATAAGGAAGAGGAAGTCCATTTACTGCAGATATTTATCGGAAAGAAAAATCCGAGGATAAGCAGACCCAGGAGCTGTCCGGGGGTCTGCGGTGGCTGGGTCCCGGCCTCCCTCGGCACGGCGGGGCAGGCCCTTCGCTGAGACCGGCACGGGGTTGTGCTGACTGCAGAGCTGGACCTCGGGTCCTCGGTTCTGCTGCGAGAATTCAGACGCCGGAGCAGAGAGCCGGCTGGGCTGAGTGGACTCGGCCACAGGAAGGAGGAAAACGTTCCCCTTTCGACAGCCACAGCCCGGACGGCCATGGAGAGCATGACGCTAAGTGGACAAGCCAGCCGGAGTAAGACAAGTACCAGTGATCTCACTCGCATGCGGAATTAATGAACAAACTGAACAAGCAAGAGAGAGACTCGGATCAAGCAGACAGCTCTGGTGGGGGAGGAGCGGGTGTTGGGGTAGAGTGACTGAGCAAAAAGAGAAAGAACTGGACACAGTCAACCGTGTGGGATGGGGGGGGGGTGCGGAGTGAGTGTGGAGGAGTATGGGGGAGCTGGATGGTGATGGGAAAATAAAGGGGGAAATGTTTGAATAAAATGCTTGCACCATGCACTCAGCACACACACAGCCCTGGCCACTGTGCCTCCGTGGATAGAGCATCGGCCTGCGGACCAAAGGGCCCGGGTTCGAGTCCACTCGAGGGTACATTCATTGGTTGCAGGCCCTGGTCGGAAGCAACCAATTGATGTGTTTCTCTCACATCGATGTTTCTCTTTCCCTCTCTCTCCCACTCTCTCTAAAAATCAATGGAAAAATACCCTCAGGTGGGGATTAACACGCGTGCGCGCGCGCGCACACACACACACACACACACACACACACGGTACTTGGAGTTAGGTCAGGGCGGAGGGCTCTTGGAGGTCTCTTCACGGGGAAGGGGATAGGGGGGGTGCGCGGAGGTGGTCAGTACTTATTGCACCTGGTCCTGAGCCAGCCGGCATCGCTGCCGCTGCAGCTGCTGCTTTTCCGGGCTGGCCACTGAAACAACAGACCCACATGGGTCTCTGGTTTGACCGAAACTCTGACTGTGGTCAGACATCCTCGCCCGGAGGCTGAGCCTACGGGAGGGTCGCACGGGCTGGGGTCCTCCCCGGCTGTCCTCCGGCTCCTGCTCCTCCTTTAGGGCAGGTCTGCAGGGACGACAGCTGTGGCCGGCAGGAGGAAGGCCCCCGGGAGAGGTCCGAGCCTCACCGTGGTCTCTACGTGTGTGCACAGTGAGGCATCAGGAGGTCCGCACTGCCCGTCCTCCGGTCTGCCCAGCCCGTCTCAGGGCCACGAGGCGGGTGGCCCCTGATCTCCTGGGGCAAAGCTCTTGGGCTCCAAAGAAACCCCGAAAGCAGTCACTGCCCTGGGGCTAGACGGGCTGGTTTGAACCCAACCACACCAGCTCTGGAGCCCAGCAGGTCCCCTCCTCCTTCCTGAGCCGCCTGCTCTCCTCTGCCTCCGGAGTGTCACCGCCTCCCTCAGGATGCGGCGAGAACTGCAGAGGTACACAGGGCACTCGCATGCACCCACTCAGGTGCGCTGCTGGGGTTAGCTAAGTCCTGCACCTCAGTGTCCTCATCTTTGAAATGGGTAACAGCCCTGGCCGGTGTGGCTCCGGGGATGGAGCGTTGGCCTGTGGGCTGAAGGGTCCCAGGTTCGATTCCAGTCAAGGACAAGTGGGTTTGCAGGAGGAAGCTGATCGATATTTCTTTCTCAATGTTTCTAACTCTCTATCCCTCTCCCTTCCTCTCTGTAAAAAAAACAAACTATGTTTTTTAAAAATAAAATGGGGTAACACTTTGCCCAGCTGGCATTGGCTCAGGGGTTGAGCGATGACCTATGAACCCAGAGGTCAGGGTTCAACTCCTGGTCAAGCCACAGGCCTGGGTTTCGGGCTCGATCCCCAGCAGGGGGCGTGCAGGAGGCAGCCGATCCAGGATGATGTCCCATCATGGATGTTTCTCTCGCTCCCTCGCCCTTCCTGAAGTCAATAAAAACATATAAATAATAACGATAAATAAAATGGGACACCACTTCATGGTTGAAAACCTGAATGACAAATGCTCAGCCTGCCCACAGGCCCTCGGAGACCCTCCGGCTCTCTGTGCCTCAAACCCCCCCCACACACACACACACACACAGCACACAGCAGTGCCAGGACCCGGCCTCTGAGAGCCGGGCACCGCGGGAGCCGAGGCCCCATGCCCGCACCCGGGCCTGGAGTCCCACGGGGCCTCTGGGCCCAGTCCTGACCTCAAAACCCGAGAAGCTCGGCGTCTCCCGGCTGTTGTGCACAGCACGCGGCTCTGCACGCGGCGGCCGAGACACGGCGGCCGATTAAAACGCCGGCAGTGCCATCTGGCAGTGGGTTCTGGCGCCCCGTCTCCCCAGGGCACTGCTGACATCTGAGAGAGCGGAGCTCGGACACAGGAAGCAGGCGGCCGGGGAGGGCAGACGCAGGGCCAGGGCCAGGGCCGCGGGCCGCCCAGATTCCTTTCCAGCCGATGAGCGAGCGCGTTGACCCACGCCACAGGGGTCTCGGGTTCGGTTCCTGGTCAGGGCACGTGCCCTCGGTGTGGGTTCGATCCCGGGAAGGGGGCGTGCAGGAGGCAGCCCATTCATGTTCCTGTCCCTCCGTCTCCCTCCCTCTCTCTGAAAATCAATTAAAGATACTTAAAAAGAGAGAAATCACATTCCTGGTTCCTGCCCTCAACTTCAGCCATGAGTCAGCCCCTTCCCCTCCAGGTACTGAGGCCGCACTCAGTGGGGTCCCAGCTGAGTCACCTGGTCCTGCGTCCCGGCAGACACCTCCCCTCGGACCCCACAGCGC